TATATATATATATATATATATGTAGATAATAGTGAAAAAATGTGCATACTGATTGTTATATAGAAAGTCCAAGATGTCGTCTCACTTGAATTGGATGATAATCCGCGACAACAATGCTTTTCTTCTGAAGAAGCGCAACATCAATAAGCCGTTTTCTACGGTTCGTTAAGCCTGCTGTATCTTCTAAAGTATTATTAATAATTTTAACAATATTTCTTGCTATTACATAGATTAATAATTCTTTAGGAGGCTAACAACTTGACGAATCTGAGTAGTTATCGCTATTCTGGTTTGATTCATCGTAAGAGCGTTGGGGTTATTGATACTTCCGACAAAAAGGGTTTCACAGTTGTCTATAAAAAGGCTAAGGCAGTCAACAAGCCTGCCAAAGCTAATGTAAAGAGCACAATGAAGGCAGGAGCTCGTCGTTCTCTACATAAGTTGAAAACTTTACTTAAAAAGAACAAGTATCGCGTAGACCTCACTAAGGTATATAAATTATAGAATCATTATGCTAAGTTTATTTATTCTCTGCTTTCACATATTTTAAATAAAAACTTTAATAAACTTTCTACAATAAGCTGTTAAATAAACTTTAAGGACCATGGCACACAAAAATTTGAATTAGACATTTGTAGTAAGACATAAGCAATAACGAATCAACATGTTGGATTGAATTTTATAGTAATTGGTCAATTCGCTTACTGCTTAAGTGTTTTTGTGCTATTGCTCTAACTCTTATGTTATAAGAAATTAACCAATCACAGTATATTTTTCTTCTTGTACTTGACTGTAATTAATTGATTTCTTATGACCTGTAACTTGACTTAAGTGGTTTCTGATGAATTGAGTACTTACTTTTATATTATCTTGTATTATTGACAGTTGAAAGATTAATGATTATGTTTTGCATGGCACCCTTAATCAGATTTAATAACATTGGTATTTATAAAATAGATCAATTACAATCATTCCATTCTTCAAAAGAATATCTATAATTGACCACTTTAATATTATGATCATCATTGTTTATTAAATAATTTTTTTTTTAAATAAAATATTTACTAATTAAAGTTCCTGTCTTATATTTGTTTTTCATAGAATAATTATCATATATAGAATATCAAATTTGATTTTAATTGTATATCATTTGTCATTAATATTGTATTAATGCTTCTATTTAAAATATTTTTTAGGCTGCACTGCGACGGGCCAGTGCCGTATTGCGATCACAGAAACCTCTTCCCACTAAGAAAACACGAACTACTAAAAAGACCGATTAATTTGTATATTTTATTAAATATACATTGTAAATTAAAATATCTATTATGGGCGACGTATTCTGTAAAGTAATTGTGCTCTAGCTTAGTAAAATTTTTTGACGTATTATTTACTTGATTTAGAAAACTTTGCTGTGCACCATTATTTTGCAGATATGCCATGTTTTTATAACAAAATAATACACATTTCAGTAAAATAAAAGTATTTTGAAATAAGCCTTTAATTATATTAGTTATAAACATCTTTTTGGGTAAGCCTTTTATGTTATATAAATTAAAGCTTCCTTTATTAGATTGCGAGGTTTAGGTTTTATATTATGGAATTTTATTTTTAGATTGAAAGGAAAATCGGCACATGCTTCTTCTGTGATTGATCTGCGAAATCCAATTTTTAATTAGGTAAATTTTATTTATTAAGTTTGTTTTCATTTTTCAAATTAACTATATTTATCTAATTCTTCTAGTTAATTATTTGTTATATAACATTTTTCTCGTGCATTTACATACACCAATTTTGATATTGCTATGAATGCCATAATTTTCAATTTGCTACTTTTGACTTAAAACTTAATAAAATATATTGTTAATATTATAATAACAAAGAATTTTCTTTGAATGTCAGGCTTGCAAATCCCTGGAAAATCGATAATGAATTATATAAGTAATTTTCATTTATCTTTTTTTATTTTATAATGATAGAAAATTCATCGATACTGACATAAGTTTCCTAAAGAGGCATCTCCCTATTTTTCAGAAATTAACTATTAACTTTATTAATACTGATGAAAACATGATTTTTAAAAGTAATAATATATATTTGTGGCTTGGTTCTACACAAAATCAATTAAAAGCGAATTCTACAAATGTGAAAATAAAATTTTCACGTTTTCGTAAATTGTATAGTTTAAATAATGGTTACATTATTGATAATAATATGTCGTTTTACATGTTTATAGATTCTTAAATCAATTTTATTTGTTTTTTCTTACTTTATTTAATAATATATTTTTAAATATAGTGTCAATAATATGTAGTCTAATATAGAATCAATATGTAATCCTATTAAAGTTGAACGCAATCGTGTATTTATAAAAAAAACCATCAGAAAGTAATGCTCACATTATATCCACTACATTTGCGTCCTGCAGAACAGTACAAGATACCAATAGAAACCGTTTTTAAAATAAAAAGATTCTAGAAAAATCTTATATTACATTCACTTGTAGGTATCTTGTATAGATAATTTCTGAGAAAGAAAAAGAATGAGAATATATGACATTACTGTCTACTGTGCTAGTTTTTAGTCCCAGTTTGTAAAGCACGTCATTTTTGCTTATTTTACGAAAAAGTTATTTTCAGAATTATTTCAAAATTGCAGTATTATAAAAACTTAAAAAACACTTTTTTAGTTTGTATTTTATGTTTTGAAAGTTTTTGGCTTTTGTTTAAGAAATATCGTTCAAAAACAAAGTGATATGTCGATATTGGTGATCTTTTATATTTATATATTTAAATGATGATATATATCCACCAAATCTAATGAGTGCCATGATTTGTATATTTGCTAACTGATTATCCTTTACATTACTCTGAAATTTTAGATTTAAAAATAGATTTTAACTAATATAATTATTTTCATTATTAGGTTGCTAGTTTCAAGCGGAACATCTTCAAATGCTATGAAGGTATTTATATACTTCATCTTTTAAAAACATTTTGGAGGTACAACTGCTGCGTTTGGTTTGAAGTTTTCAGCTCTTGTATCTTTGTTTTATATCTAATGAAATGTTGATTATAAATTGTTTAAAGTATGTGAGTGTCCAAATTGAACGCAGTCAATATTAGCTAATAGCGGGGAATGGAAAGTTACTTTTTAAAAGTACCAAGTTACTCGTTATTTGAGAAAGTAACTTTTCATTACTTTTTTAAAATCGACAACTAATCACAATGCACGGGTGTCTAGGAGCTTTCTAGTCTCATGCGCTATGAGTGGCTTGTATCCAATCAAACCATGTTCAATCGTGTGCAAAGTAACGATAAAAGTACTTGTAAAATTTGTTATCGTTACTAAAAAAAATTAACTATGTTATTGTTACAGTTACCAAAAAAAGTGACGCAATTACCAGTAAAGTTAAAAAAAAGTAACTATTATAACTTCGTTATATTAAATAATGAGTTACTTCCATTACTTGGCTAATATTATAATGTTATATCATTGTATAAAGAGGATGATAATTATGTAATCACCAAGATCTATGAGTGCTATGATTTATACGTAGTATTTGCTAACTGATTATCATTTACAATAATATAAAATTCAAATAAAAAATAATTTTTAACTAATATGATTGTTTTATTGTTTACAGGTCATTTGCGAATTTTAAACGATACAGCATTTGGAGATTGTATAAAGGTATTTATAATTTTGTTTATATTACCTCATGTTTTGAATTATATTTTAAATAAAATTATATCATTGTAATCATCAAGATCTATGAATGCTATGCTATTTTAATGTGCTACTGACTTATGAAATTTTAATATTATAAAAAATTAATAGTTTTATTTAATAATAAACATGAACGGAATTTTCCGTTTATTAGATTTGTTAAATCCTTGGAAATTGTAATGAATCGACAAAGATTGTAGATAATGTTCATTTATTATAATTTTTGTTTATTATGTAATGCTATATCATTGTATAAAGAGGATGATAATTTGTGTATCCACCAAGATCTATGAGTGCTATGATTTGTGTAGTATTTGCTAACTGATTATCATTTACAATAATATAAAATTTAAATAAAAAATAATTTTTAACTAATACGATTGTTTTATTATTTACAGGTCATTCGCGAATTTTAAATGATACAGCATTTGGAGATTGTATAAAGGTATTTATAATATTTTTTATTATCTCGCATTTTGAATTTTATTTTAAATAAAATTATGTCATTGTAATCATCAAAATCTGTGAATGCTGCTCTATTTCAATTTGCCACCGACTTACTAAATTTTAATAAAAAATATAATTTTATCTAAAAACAAACATGAACGGAATTTTCCGTTTATTAGATTTGTTAAATTCTTGAAAATTGTAATGAATCAATAAAAATTGTGGATAATATTCATTTGTCATAATTTTTGTTTATTATGTAATGCTATACCGTTGTGTAAAGAAGATGTGTATCCACCAAGATCTATGAGTGCTATGATTTATGTAATATTTGCTAGATGATTATCATTTTCAATAATATAAAATTTAAATAAAAAATAATTTTTAACTATTACAATCGTTTTATTATTTGCAGGTCATTCGCGAATTTTAAACGATACAGCATTTGGAGATTGTATAAAGGCATTTATAATTTTTCTTATATTACCTCGCGTTTTGAATTATATTCCAAATAAAATTATGTCATTGTAATCACTAAGATCTACGAACGCTAATATTTTAATTTGCTACTTAATAGATTTTGATAAAAAATATATATATAAAATTTTGTTTAATAACAAACATAATTCCTCTTATGAATAATTGGCACATTTGTTCTGAAGATTTAGTACAGACACGAACCATATCTACTTTCGTCGATACAATTTTATCGATAGTATGTAAGTCACGTAATTCTCAAACTGAAAACTGATGTACTGGCGATTTCGACGGTAACAAGAAAAAAACCGGCAACTGGCCCCTCTCAGGTTTCTCTCTGCCTCCAATATTTCTATGGTCATGTTCTTTAATCTGTATTCTTTTAATCTGTATTAGTGGAAATGGGCATTAATAAGTGCGTACTCTACAACCTTACGAGTCTTCTCGTGGCATGGTAAAAATGGAGTAGAGCGAAGATAAGGTTAATTACAGTTCTAATGGCAATTGTTCATAGCATAACAATGTACGGCAGTTGGAGGCTTTTCTAAGCTCGCAACTTGTGAGCTAGGCTCACAAGTGAGGACGTCTGTAACGAAGGTTATGGGATAATTGATACCATCGCCGAAGTTTCTCACTCGCGAGGAGTATGGGGAACTTTGGGAGTGACATCGTAATATGGTACGTTTCATTTTCGGCTTTATCAAAAGTATAAATGCAACGGCGGTATTAGTTTAGTTTTTACAGCTGATGCGACACAGCAACAAGCTAGCTTAATGCATAGGACCGGTGTTTCATTAATGCCGATTACTTGATCGATCGATTAATTTGTCATCAAAATTGCCAACAGCAAGACTTTAAAATTTGTCTTAATTTCTAATTCATGGCAAAGGCAAAATGTAGTACGAGTAGTAAATTAGATTTGGAAATATAAATATATTTTGAATATCTTTACAAATATGTATTTTGTAAAAATTATTGTCAAGAAATTAAGTTAGAACAAGTTTTTAGTTTAAAAGTTGGCTTAAATTTAATCGGCAGATTAAGTAACTGACATTTATAAAACATAGTTGTCCTTCTTATACATTAGATATTTTTATAGTAAACATGTGATTTTTCAGTATTTTATCAGTACATAATTAAAGAGAATACATTTGGTAGCTTGTTGCTACTATTTTCAGTCAGCATCATATTTGGAACCAGTGAGATTATCAAATTGGTCATGAACAATGGAGAAGATATTCTCAAGATATCTACATATAATTGGATTATTCGATTATGTTTGAATTTATTGGGATATGCCACTGTGTTATTGCCAGGTTGTCTTATATACAAATATGTACGCTATATAAAGTACATTCAGAGAGGTGGTAAGTATTGATATGGAAAGAATTAACCAGGGTTGGTATGTAATATATTGCAACTTCATTACCGTCCAAATTTACTTTTAAAATACTGAGTAATGACATTACATTTCCTTATGATGATAATGAAGTTATATTTTTGAGGAATTAATAATAATTTGAATAGTTATTTTTATCGTTACTCTTTATTTCTAGCATATAAATCAATTTCCAGCAAAATATTAATTGCTTACTTTTTATACATATTACTTTTTATTGCGAGACAAGAATTTTGACATCCTGTGTATAATCATTGCACAGAATGTGACAAATTTTATTTATAGTAAAGTTTATTATTGTAACTTGATTTTAATAACAAAAATGAATAAACTATTGTATATATACTTCAGTTCAAAATCTTTTTAGTCACAAGAAGGCACAAAAGTTTTGATTGGTCTTTACTGTACTATCATTGTATTTTATTGATGAAAAATATTAAAAATAAAAGAACAAATAGAAATAAGCCAATGAGCCAAATTGATTTTTAATGTTCACTCTGTGTTATAAATTGAATAAAATATTTCCTTTAATTCAAACGTTTAAAATATTTTTATTTTCAATAAATTAATAAAGCATTAAGCAGAGAAATTATTTCAAGTTATTAATGTTATCATAAAATATTTTTATTATTTATAATGCATATTTTAAAAGAATTATATGAATTACATTTTTACATAATATCTTTTCTTTAATTATTCTACATATAAAAAATTATTCTACATTAAAATAAAATTATAAAAAATT